AACTGAATGGGAAAAGTTTGAGGTCTTATAACATTTTAACGTGCAATATATCAATATCGAAGTTCTGGAAAATGTAATATCGAAGGATGCTTCATAATTTAATGTCTCGTTATTTTAATTAGTTAACGTGATTTCGTTTTTATAGCGCCTTAAAATTATGCTATTTTAAACTTTATTTTTTATCTTAAATTATACACTATCTGTACAGCTCGTTGCTTACTTTTTTAATTTATTACATGCAACCAAACTCTCACGCAAATTATCGTGGACCATGGGACGTTATAACTCGAGAAATATTTTTTCAACATTAGAGACTGCGGTCTATTAAAATAATAATTATTAAATAACAAATAAAAGTAATCGTAGTTTTGAGACATTAAAGGATTGTCGAAACACAGCTCTTTAATTTGACATTAACTTTATAATTGTAAGTTACATAGAACAAAACTTATAAGCCGTCAAAGAAGCACCAAAACGTCCTGCACGGTGGGGTTGCACCTTAACTGTCCCATGGAGCGCCGTCGGCGTTGTTTGTAACAACCAAATACGAGCAATCTAAGAGAGGGTAGCGCGCGCTCGGCAGCCAATCTCTCCTCCCTCTTGGGCCACGTTTTAAACACTCTCTCCACCCTCTCGCGTCACGTGTCAGGTGTGGCTAGAAACCTGGAAAAAAAAAAGGGGGGGGGGGGATATAGGGGAATGGAAATTCACGCTCTTCACGCTCTGGCGTCGCTGCCGTGTCAGGCGTTGCCGGATGGAGGAAGGGGGGGGGGGGAAGGGCGCGGCCGCTTCTGCTGCTTTCGCCGCCGGGGAACATCGTCGCGCGTGAGGCATCCATTCTATATCGTGGGCGGCCGCAACCCCGGCAGTAGCGAAACGTGGCCGCCCACGCCAGTACACCGCAGACGAACTTTGGGAGCGGAAGAACGACATTCACGCTTTCGCATACAAATCTCATAAGAAGTGCTTTTTATACACCGAGTGCGGAGGTAAACAAAAGCAAATAATGTCTCAACTTCCAGGGGGTGCATGTTACTTCCAGTGGGCTATTGATTTTCCTTGTTTTTGAGGGCCCTCCGTTAGTAGCGCGTATTTAGTCTCACCGCAGTCTCACCGCCGAGGACTACCTGCGGTACGTCCTGAAATTACTTACACATGATCGGCATCATTTCGCGTTCTCTTGGGTGAAAAAAAAAATACTTGCTCATCAAGGAAATGACAAACCTGCCGAAGGTATCGTGGGCGCATTTTCAAGACTTCCTATTCGACTAGCCTGCTTCATATACCAGAAAAGGGCTCCAAAAGTTAAAACTTACAAATCCCTAAACGCGACCAACTACTTCTTGAATGGCAAGGCATCAGCGGTTGGCAGGTAACTCCCCCAGGTGCCGAAGATAGGCGCCGAAGTTCCGCGAAGGGGTCGCAGAGCAGGGTCTTGGTTTCAGCAGACAATCTTGCAACAGTTCCATTTAGCGCGCGACCAATAGCTCCCTTTAGCTTTCTTTAGCGCGAAGCAGGTCTCCGTAATGCAGAATTTTCTCGTGTTTTCAATCGCTTGCTTTGGCATTGAAGGTTCCTTTCCCAGATCACCATGCACGCTGCATTTGTAAGTGTCGTAATGTCCCATCATTGTGCGTAGATGGTAGATCGTTGCGCCGCAGCATCGGCGCCGCATCCTCGCGTTTGTCGCATTGCGCCATCTGTCGGCAGCACATCGAAGTAGGCTAGCACTATCTGCCAATGCCGTCGTTCTTCTATCACCCAGGCTCGACGCCGTCGGTGGCGTCCCTCGTCTCCAGATAATCGAAATCAGCCTAAAAGCACGACAAAAAAAAAGGGTTGTGTGTAAATGTTTATACAGCCTAGAACTTGGTCTGCCTCAACGGGCGACGACTCTCCCAGCTGTAGATGAGAAATTTAGCCAGTGCGGTACAACCACTAGCCTGGGATCTTTAGCGTGCATCGCGCAGTAGTGATACACACCGCACGCCGGTACGTAGCTCACCCAGATCAAAACGAGCAGGAATGGGAATTGAACCCAGGATCCTGGGGTTCTGCAGGGCGAGCTTTCGTTCCACGTGCTCCGAGCTGGTGTGCGCTAGCCCACTCGGCCACCGATCCCCCCTAAAAGCACGACACTGGGGCATTTCTAGAGTGTAGCTATAAGGAATTGCTCGCTAGTGAACCAAGAGCCGTCGCGCACTTAATAAAAAAACAAAGTAAACATAGGATCGAGAACCGGAAGTATTTCTCTTTCCCTGTCATGGCGGCTGGAGGTGATGAACACACTTTGTATAGAATGCGCGATGCGGGCGTTTCTTTGCACTATAAGACACAAGTTCCAAGGGGAGGCCACCGAGAGCCTCCGCACGGGCCTCTCGGTTGCCTCTCCTTACGCCGCACAGCTAAACATGCACCACACTTCCCCAGACGTTCCCTCTAGCCTTTTCGCTCTTGCCGCCACCACATTGCCAGAAGGCCACCCCTCGCCTTCCCGCGACTCTGGTCACGTGTCTTCGGTCTCTCCTCCGCGAACCTCGCTCTCTCCAGCATATCTGCCGTTGGCTTTAGCCCAGTAACCAAGTGGAGGCTCCACTCTGCTATGCCTCACATCTGGCCCAGTCGCCCACAAAAACTTTAAATTAGCCTCTCTGTCTTTCTTGCCCATCGAAACCTTCCTAGCTCGCGTAAACAAGTAAACGCCCTCTTTTGTTGTCTCATCATGCCGCTCATCAAATGGGAGGACCCCATCGCCGCAGATCTCACCGTCTTCACAGCGGACCTAATTCGTGAAGAACTTGGAAGGCGTACGTCTCAAACTTCGAAGGCTGTTCTACCATGGTTCAAAACGTCATGATTTTATCGCCGGTTCATCAGGGATTTTGTCAAAGTCATCGACCCTCTTCAGCTGATTATACATTCGGGAATTTACGAGTGGACACCGGCGCGCAAGTAAGCGTTCCAAGTGATTCGTCAAAGCCTCACATAAAAAAAATGTAATTTCTGTTTCTTCATCTCCGACTTTTGTATCATGGCTGGATCTAGAAAGAAGGTGTCTTGTTCTGACAAGCTATATATAGCTATCTGTAATCTTTCCCGGTACCGTTCTTAAACTAAACAATTGCACTACCTCTACGGCACTTTTTTTTTCTAAGATAGTAATAATAAAATTGTGCCGCAGAAAAATATAGAAATTGATAAGCTGTAGAACTGAGATGCTGGAGCCGGTGGCTTCAAGGTTAAGGGACACTGACACCCCCCAAAAATTTGTTTTTCCATTTTTTGCCAGGCGCTCCATTATGGTGTCGGAGGACTACCCAATTAATATTTTGCAACAGAGTAGCGTATTTTTTTAATAAAGCCGAAAGACGCAACTGCTCGAAACCGAAACCGAAACCCGACGGAGGTTGGAGAAGTGGAGAGAAGAGAGTGAGTTGCGGAAGTCACGTGGCTACACCCGACCGTGCGTTCTTTTTTTTTTTTCTCCTCTCCGTAGCAGACGACACGACATGCGGCGTACGGGAGCTGTTCGCTGTGCGATTCTTTTGCAGTTATGTTTGTTCCGCTCGTTGTTCTGTACTCCAAGATGAGTTGTTTTGTACATTGAGGAGTTGGAGATGAGTAGTGAATGCCCGTGGTGAACTTCCATGATCGGCTCCGAAAAGAATACACCCAAGTTGTTGCGTGAAGAGCTGGCTCACATGTCCTGCGTCCGAAAAAAAAAGGGTCGTTGTGCGATAGAGTTTCCAAAAGATCAACGGGATCGGGACCAATGGCTGGCTGCAATTCAACATATATACGGGCACCTCGGAAGGCGGACGCTACCTGATTTATATGCTCCTTGCATTTTGTGGAAAGTGATTACATTGAGTTCGCAAGTGTAAAAAAGGAAATCCCATACCATTTAATTCAGCGAAGTGTCGTCCACAACATTTGTTTATTTTTTTGTTTGTTTCTTCAGTGATAATTGTAAAAAAAAAAAGATATGTAAACATCAAAAAATGTTTGAAAAAAAAACATTTTCACGGGGGATCGAATGCAGTTCTACCGCAAGTGAAGCGGACGTCTTTCCCACTGAGATACTGGAGCGCCTCATCACGCCTTTATCAAAGGGCTTTACTCATCACTGGTGGATCTCTTTCCGTAGTAATGATTCAGCCGGTAAACTGTAAGTTCGAAAGTTTGCTGCCGATTTTCCTCTAGCAAAAGCACTCCCGGGTCGAAGTCGGGAAGCACCACGCATTGGCGACATTTGCTCCTAGTAAAGAAATCATACGCGTGCATATTCAAGTCGAAGTAGACACGTCGTGCTTGACGTTTGCGCGAGCGATGTGTTCAGCCACGAGAAGGGAGCGACGGCTCGGCGACGTCTTCGTGCAAATCGGCTTGGTGGTCGGGCGTGTCGTACGGGATGTATACCAATTCTTTTGATCAGTCCCCAATTTCTCTTTTAAAGGTAGACAGATTTCGCCGGTACCGCGAACAACAGTTCTGAAATAAAGGTCCCACGCCCGTTGTCCGCTGCCATCGTCGTCCCCGCGAGTCCCACGATACGCGAAACGACGAACGCACAGAATGCTTCCGGTTGTCTGTGGAACTTTTTTTTTTTCAGTCAACGTATTTGCAGCTTTTTAGAAGCCACAAAAAATTGGTTTCACTTTTTTTTTCTATTTTTAATATTGAGTGTGTGCCTTCAGTGACCTACGACTTTGATTAAATTTGGTGGTCGCATCGATACCTTAGAAAACGGCTAGTGACCGCGGAAACGAGAGTGAGCGAGACTCGAACCGGCCAGTTCTTGATCGGCGGTTTTCGGGCGGAAAGAAACCGAATTTCGAGCCGCAAATTCTGTTCTGGGTAGTTGAGCTCTCATATGTCACGTACAACTAAAAACCTCGGCGAGCATAAATAACCTGTCACTGTCCCTTTAAGAGATAAACGTTCAATCGTATTCACTTCAATTTTTTTTACGCCAACTTTTCTTTTTTGTTACATTTCAGCTTCTTATTTACGTGGAACACAGGGAATCTTACCGGCTCTCGTTGAAGCTCGTAGGAATGGAACAGGTTTGTAATATACCACAGTATTAGTGTGGATGCTTGAACCATTCGTGTTAGTACATAGTTAGTTATCCACGCTACCTTAATATTTGGCTACACAATTTAGGAGCGGGAAATCAAAAAACAAAATAATTGGGGTAGCTGATGAATACAAAAATAAAGTACTTAGAATTTCGTCGCGTGTTTTACATAAAGTAGTTTATAAGCCCGTTTACGTGACGTACTTCTAGCTAGAATTTCCACCGGATACCATGCATGAACTTTCGCGCCATGTGGAGGCAGTGTTTTCCAGTACGCTCGTGTTCTTTCGCGTCGTTATCGATTGCGTCTGCTGGAGTAGTTTGTGACACAAAGAAGGATCGTTTGGCGCTAACTTTTGCCCGGTCAAGCTTTCATTTGGAGTGCAGACGAGCCAGTGTCCGAATACTAGACCTCTCGGCGGTCACAATGACAACGCTTGAAGGCGCAGGAACCAACATTGGCCGGGTCGACTCCGAAATTGTAAAATCGTAATAAATAGGAATCGCTCTAGCCCAAGTATGTCTTTGGTTTAACTTACGGAGTCTTGTAATCAACGGAGCCACTCGTCATGCCTCTGCGTTTTGCCAACACAAACAACCGAATACTTCACGTTGTTTTTGATACTTATTCCCTTCCGCCGGAGATCACAGTGTGTGGAATCCATTCCCGCGCTTAGCTGTTCATTCATCAAGCAAAAACTGCCGAGTCATTGAGCTGCGGGCGCATGCGCGGAGTCTGCTATTCCCGCGAAGCGAGCTAGGCACTCTCCAAGAATGCGCTTCACGACGCCGTACACAGAGATGGCAACGAACAAGAGACGAATATTGGAATGCTCATTGTACATACGTTTCGCAAATCGTAGTTCAGACTGATCGATTGTACTCAGGCGTAAACTGGTTTCATGCGATGAGCTTCAGGAACCGGCCGAAGGTTAACGTGGAGATAGTCTCGCTTTCTATCACGTTCGAGAACAATGCTTAGGTTTTGCCGGAATGTGTGAACCTGAAGTTTTTGGGCGATTGATCGTTGGAGCCAAATCTTGATTTTGCTCACAATTTTAGTTTGTTTTGCTTTATCGTAAAATGTGATGTTATCATATGATCGGAATGCTTTCAAATCATACAAAAATTTAAACGATTTTTTTACGAATATGCAGAATAATTTAATTGTCAAGAGCACAACAAGATTTGATGCACATGCACTACTTAACATTATGTCTCTGGCCTTTCAAAATGAGGAAAGTTGCTTTCCTCTCTATGTCAGAAAACTGGAATTTTTGGTTTTGGGTTTCGGGTCTTAACAGTGCAAATCAAATTATATTTTGACAGTTTCAAAGTTATACAATATTCGCGGTACGCGCTAGGTGGTCCTCGCGCCTTTACTTTAGAAGACTTTATTTAACAAGTAATTTTGTAGAATTTTTAAAGGTACAAGACCCGCAACGTTAATTTATATTTAGGGTTTCATGCATTTGGTGTATGCTAAAAAAATATCGAGAATAGTACTGCCCAAGCAGTTTTTATTGAATAGTATAAAAACAGAAAATCCTCAAAGTCTTACATTTCTCCAATAAGAGACTCCAAGTTTCAAGGGGAAAAATTTCATCTACAGTTTTAGTCTATGTTGGCACAAAACAAAGCCATAGATGAACTTTCTACATAGCTGCTCCTTTGCTAACGACACCTTTTTTGTTGCTCTGTTTTGTTGTTTTTGTTGTTGTTGTTGTTGCTTTAGATTAGGGCGTTTAAATATTTTGGGTCCCTGGAAACAAACCCTGTTCTGACGCCTTGTTTTTATCGCGTAAGCGACTGTGAACACCATTTTTATCGACACCTAGTATTTCGACCAAAATCACCGATTTTTTGAGAAATTAAAACGTTCCCTAAATCGAGGAAAAAGAAACCGCGTAGGTACGGAAGTCTCCTTATACTTTATGTTTGTGAGTTGCGTTTCTCTCTGAGTTATTTCATGTCTGTGCAGCTTTTTTTTTTTGCACGTTGTTTTTCTTACGCAACGCTCAGCTGGACAAACATATGACGGAAAGGTTGCTTGTGAACTCTACGGAACATGATATGATTATAGAGGAAGAACGTGTGTTGTTGCCACAAGAAGCGATTCGTCTCATGAAATCGGTGGATCGAGGAATAAAGGAGCTTGACGCATATATCGTGCTTACAAGGTAAGTAATTCGGTTTAAAACCTTGCGTTGTACAATTGTAATTGTCGCAGTTGTTTTCTTGGCGATTGTTTTAGCAGGGAAATCAAATGGTTGTATAGGTCACGTGACAGCAATTTCACCAGCTCAATTTAGGTCGAAAACTGGATTGGTGTTAGTTTACATTACGTCAATGTTCCGGTTATTCATATAAAAAATAGCGCAAAAGAGACGGGACAAAAAGACGAAGAAGCACACAGGACAAACACTATTTTTGCGCTATTTTTAATATGAATGTCCACTACCAACTTGCCCAGCAGACCAAGCTTTTACAATACGTTCCGGTTATGTTTAGGGGGTAATCTGAATTAGTCTATAGGACAAGTGACGTCCATTTCACCCGCTAAATTTAACGTGCGAATTGGATTGGTGCTTAGCTCACAAGGCGTAAGTTTTGCCGCTAAACGTAGCAGGAAATCTAAATTTCCACATTGGTCACGTGACATCAATAAGTAGTTAGTTAACTTTGTTAAATAATTAGTTTGAAAACAAATTATTGATTTGTTAACTAATTCGTTAATTTGGTAACTAAATAGTTAACTTTGTTAAATAAATATTTACCTCAATTAATAACAGAACTTCGGCTTAGGGTGTTAGTCCTGTCACACAGTGGGGTCCGAAGTTAGGGTGACGGCGGCAAGGTTCCGCCAAAAGAGATGAAGGGTGCATATTTTTAGTTTTTTCGCTCGATCCCCCAAAGGTCCTTTTGGCGATCCCATTCACGTCCTGGGCCCCTAGATTCGTCAAACACTAAGTTGGGGCCGAAGTTTACTGAGCTCTCCGTTTGGACTCTGGCGAAGATGACGCCACGCTTTGGTCGCTGGAGTCCAATCAGCACGATCCGGGAACTTTCGCCTTTAGCTCTTTGTTTCTTCTGTCCCGAGTCCCTGGTGACTGCTCCAATGCATTGGCTCCAGGGGGGTGGGTGGGGGAAGCATGCTTTTTATTCTTTTAGGCTTGGTCCAGCAAGGTATCGCAAATTATAAAGGGTACAGCTGTTAATATCCACCAATCAATTCACGGCCATGAAGAGCGCGATGCAAGACGATTGTGAGTATACCAGGGACGATTAGCTTTTTTAGCGCACCCTGCTAACACAGTAGGGAAATGACTTGCATTGGTTATTCGGACTTCTTGTGAACAAGCTCAAGCTGCTTGAAAATTATAAATGTTTATTTTTATTTTTTATTCAGGCATCCTATATACAACCAAAGGGGGGAGGAACTTGACGGTGAGTACCTACTATAGTTTTGACAATTTCAGGTGTACTGCAGTGGCGTATCAAGTGTGTGGCCGCGGGGCCCTGGGCGCCGGGTACCAGCTGTCCCATCTCGCAGCACCCGGCACTCCTCCCCTCACGCCCCCCCAGCTTCACTGGTTTGTAGTGATCTAGGGGAGTAAAGAAAAGGGGAGGGAGGGGGGAGGTGCTACGAAGGACATAAGGGCCCCGGTTGCCGGATCCCCTAGCTACACCACTGGTTTACTGTACTCGCCATTCGAACTGCACGTAAACTTTCGCTATTCTCTGGCAGCACGCCAAAGAAACGAATAATTTAGCTTAAGTTTAGTAAACCTTGTTCTAATATAAGCCTAATGGTTTTTTTAAAGTGTTAGGTTGTTTGTTTTTCCTGTGACTATTTTTGGGAGGTTCGCCACGAAATTGCCAAACTTCAGGCAAAAATGCCACGCATCGACCAAACAATTAGCAGTAAAGCCCAATTCTGGCACTTGTTTGACAATTTGTGTTCAAAGTTCCCAGACTAAAACGGCACGACCAGGCAAAGAAGCGCAACTTTGGTCTTGGTCTGGTTATTTAAAGCTAAAATTCCCAAACTCTGACCAAAGAATATCAGGTTTTGTTATACTTCCTCTTTTTCTGGCTTTAAGTGCCCTAAACTGCCTGACAAAGACCAAAGTATGCCTCAAAGTTCTATTACTCTTGCAGTTTAAAAACTGGCGAAGTGCCACAAAATTAGAGAAAGTGGCCAAGTAAGTGCCTGTGAATAAGAGCGGTGATAAAAGGATTGCCTCTAACTACAGACCTGTGTCGCTCTTGAGCACATGCAGCAAGGTTCTTTACGACGCGGGTATTCCACAGTGACACAAGGTCTTCACACGTTCTGCGAATTTGCTACCGTAGTGGATATTGATGGTCAGGTGGATGCTATTTGTTGTGCCTCGCAAAGGCTATACACCTTTTTCGTTTAGCCTCGTACCCAGCCACGTTGTCCCCATATCCGGTTTGCGTTCTGAAAAAAACGCAAGCGATTTCAACCCGGAAAAAGAAAGAAAAGTATGGAAAGGACATGACAAGAAGGAATGACGGTTGCAATTAAAATGTTAACATGTTCTAGTGTTGAGGCGAGAGGAAAGCGATGTTTTCACGCATACCGGAAGTTCCTGAATTGAAGATGGCGGCGCCCACGTAAAAAAGGTGTATTGATAGTGTCTCGCTTAAGTGCCCTAAACTGCCTGACAAAAACAAATTATGCCTCCAAGTTCCTTCACTCTTGCTGTTTAAGAACTGGCGAAGTGCCACAAATTAGAAAGTGGCTAAGGAAGTGCCTATGAATAAGAGCGGTGATAAAAGGATTGCATCTAACTACAGACCTGTGTCGCTCTTGAGTACATGCAGCAAGGTTCTTTACGACGCGGGTATTCAACAGTGACACAAGGTCTTCACACGTTCTGTGAATTCGCTATCGTAGTGGATGATGATGGTCAGGTGGTTACTATTTTTTGGGCTTCGCCAAGGCTATTGATAGTGCCTCGCAACGCAAATTACTGCATACACTTAAGCAGTTACCTGGAATATACTAATTTTAGGAATTTTTTCCAGCCTTCGGGGAAACACCAGGTATAAATATATATATATATATATATATATATATATATATATATATATATATATATACAGGGTGTTTTTTTTATTCTTACACATATGTTTAAAAAAAACGTGAAAGCTACACTAAGGCGGTTTGTGCAGGTGGGTTATACGGCCAGGCGGACATATGTGGGTGGCTAATCTTTGCGATAAGTTGGCTAATTAATTAAAATTTGTTAATTAACTTTTTAATTCGTGGAAATAGACATATGATTTCAATTAGAAACTTCTAGAGCATCATCGAAAACCACTAAATCAACTATTTTTGGAAGGATATAACGCCGGGGAAGCATTTTACTGCGTTCTGTAAAAACGCTCCATTTGAACGCGTTTCTACATTTCGGTTTCTTATCGGAGCGCATCACCGCACCCGCGGTCCTGCTCCCCAGTGGCTGAGACGCGCAACACACGTGCGCCGTACTTCCCTCCATTCTACGAGGGAGGCGAGGAGGTGTCTTCGCGTCGCGAAGACACCTCCTCCCACCTTTTTTATATATATCGTGTGTGTGTGTGTGTGTGTGTGTGTGAGAGAGAGAGAGAGAGAGAGTGTGTGTGCGTGTGTGTGTGCTCGTGCGTGTTCGAGTATGGAGGGGGGGTTTGCTGGTGTGTGTATTTTGAGAGAAGAAAACTGAAGCACATCAAGCTGCAGCTTGCAAGTGGAGACGAACAAGAGAAGAGGGCGAACTGAGATTAAGGGGAATTACGTGCTGAGTAACAAACATTTACCTGTCACAATTTGCGGTCAGTTATCTGAAGCTTTATCTAAAATCACAAAAACGCTTTTGCGTCCTCCACAAATGTTTAAACAGTCCGCGACAGAGCAAAGCAATATTGCATCAGCTTCCTGACACCGGATCTAATGCAGAGGAAGTCGCACTTTTGAATCATGACGATCGGCAGTTGCGTTTGCTCTGCACCAGACCCATAATGGCGGCCTTCACAACACTGTCGGGGAAGAGAGTGCTGATACTCTAAACGCAGCTCATTTATTGGCTCTAGTTCCCGCGAAACTCCTTTTCCCTGACTGAAACTGAAAGTAAATATGAATAATACACCATTATTATAGCTTATTTAGTTATAACCAAATACACATAATGAGAGGAGGAAGCGGCTGGGTAGGAGAAACGCGGGTTTTATGTGCGACCGTTCTAACCGTCTCAAAAGAGAGAACGCGCGAGCTTTCGCTGGTTTAAAAAAGGCATCCAAAGAAAAGAGGCGGCACGCTGTGTTCTTTGTGTTTATGCGTCTAATTGCAAATTGTTGTGTGTACGTTTATACAGCCGGAAGTTAGTCCGCCTCATTGGGCGTCTAGTGTCTCAGCTGTAGATGAGCAATTTAGCCAGTGCCGTGCGCGACCGCACGCCGGTACGATGCTCTTCCAGATCGAAACGGGCAGGGGCGGGGAGGGTTCTGCAGTGGTCCGAGCTGGTGTGCGCTAGATCATGCACTCGGCCACCGACCCCCCCCCCCCTTTGTGCGTCTAATTTATATACAGGTATAAGTATTTGAAGATCGACGATGGACGTCGATCGTCTCGAGGTAATGTAACGTAATAACATTATATAAATAATAAGTTTGTTGAAGGACTGAACGACTCAATTTTTCAATTCTTGGATTGTAATATGGCGGTAGCCTATTGTACTTACTGTTAATGAAGAGCAATATGAGGTGACGAGGTAATGATTAAATGATGAGGCTCTATAAGGACGACGACATTAGTGGGTGTCGAACCACAACGTTCAGTGCCTGACTTGTTTCAAGTATCGTGTACCCAAAGACTTTTTTCACCCGTAACAGAATATGGTAGAATCAATGAGGATGCTGCTTTACAACTGTACGTGGGACAGGAAAACTGCACTGTGCAGAAAGTTTGAAAGTTTGAAAGTTTATTGGGTTTTTCACGGGCCATGCCCGGTAGGGAGGTAGTGGCAAAAGGCATTTCTGCCTGACTGGGCCTCTACCCCCCACAGTTTACAGAAGTGCAAAAGGTGGCACAATCATTGTATCATTCCCTCTGCCCAAACACACATGCCTGTGTACGCAAAATACATTTCATTCAACGGACTGAAAAAAAATGTTCATTTCACACAACAAAATAAAGAAAGAAAACTCAGAAGTTCTAGTATTCACATGTCCAGTGGTGAACCCAAGGTAACAAAAAACAAAACATTTCTACAACGCGTAACAAATGTCCTTGTCTATAATAATTTGTTTTATCCCTTTCTTGTACTTATAAAATGACAGTGCAAAATCAGTGTAATCTTCCATAGTGTTTAGTAATGCAGGAATCTGATAATCGATTTTTTGTTTTCCATAGTTCGTACGCACCTTAGGAGTTCTACGTTTACTATTTCTCAATAAACAAAGTTGTGAAGCAGATTCATCCACTCCGTAGAGTTTTCTTTTGTGTATTGTCTGCATAAGTTTGAAATAGTAGATTTGATTTGCTTTGAGCATGTTATGCTTAGTAAAATAAGGGCTGCTATGAAATTCGCGAAATTTGCACGGTAGTTTTCCAAAATTCGCAGAACCTTTTTTTGAAGTACGATTAGTTTACCATAGTTTGTGGACGTGGTTGTTCCCCATACCATAATTCCATAACAGAGCCTCGAGTAAAACAGGGAGTAGTATAAGTTTTTGGTAAGCCAATTGGGTATTAAGTTTGCTATTTTATACATGCATCCGACCACTCTTGATAATTCCCCCCTTAACTTGTTAATGTGAGTTGTCCAGGTGAGTTCTTCATTGAACCAGACTCCAAGAAACTTTTGTTCTTCTACTTGAGCTATTGGGAGGCCATTGAACTGTAGATGTATTTGGTTATTGTCACGTTTGTTTATGGGTCTAAATATTATATATTTTGTTTTTTCTGCATTAAGTTTGAGTTCGTTTTCTTCCAACCGTTTTGATAGCTTCACGAGGTAATCATTAGCCTGTTGTTGTAAGGATGCTTTTGTGTTGCTACTGAAGAAGACATTTGTATCGTCAGCATACATTACGAGATGAGGAGAATTTGGAATATTGGTTATGTCGTTTATATACACGAGGAAGAGTAGCGGGCCTAATATAGAGCCTTGTGGTACGCCATGTTTGATTTCTAATTCCTGGGATCTGATTTTATCGACAAAAACAAACTGTTTACGGTTTCGAAGGTAAGATTCAATTAAGTTCGATGCTATTCCTCGTACACCATAAGACTGCAGTTTTGAGAGTAAAATATTATGCTGTATAGAATCGAATGCCTTACTTAGATCGAGAAATAATCCGAGCGTGTATAGTCTATTTTCAATGTTTGTTATAATTCTGTCTTTTATATCCGTAAGTGCTAATTCAGTTGATTTTTCTTT